TGACGGGGGGGGGGGGTCAGTTTTATTTTTATCGTTGGGCATGGTTGAGTCAACGTCTTCGTTTCGTCGCAGCATTGAGGATACGTGCGCCTCCGCAGAGACGTGTGGGTTGTTTGGTTAGCAACAACCCTTTGAGAGGATGCCTTGCGGCAACAAAGGAGTATCAACGAAAAAATATGGTGGAAGAATGCCGAGACCGTTGTGGTTCGCGGGCATGTTGCTGTGCCTGTATTCAACGAACACGAGGGCGCGTTTTTGTTTTTCTCTCCCTGCTGCAGGGCTTGCTTGCTGCGAGGGTCGTAGCCTTCTTTTTTTTTTTGGGCCAGGCGGGGGAGGTTTCATTTTTATAGTTGGGCATGGTTGAGTCAACGTCTTCGTCTTTTCGTAGCATGATTTTGTTTAGGATACGTGCCCCTCCGCAGAGACGTGTAGGTTGTTGGCAACAACACTTTGAGAGGATGCCTTGCGGCAACCAAGGAGTATCAACGAAAAAATACGGTGGAAGAACGCCGAAGACATTGCTGTCTTGCGGGTAACTTGCCGCGCCGGCAATCTGCGGACATGCATATCGTTTGGTGTTTTCCTATTTGCAAGACTTGTTCTTGCAGCCCAATACTACCTTGGGTGTTGACGGGAACTCTGATGCACGCTTGGGTTCCGCAAATTTGGAGCCTTGCAATTCTTCCCGTATCCGCGCATGCTCACTTGAAGCGCAGGAATGTGTTCGCGATGGGATTCGACAAGACCCCAATTTTTAGCGTGTGTGTGGGTCTCCTTCAGGTCTGCAACCTGGAGCAATGTTTTACCCACGCGACGAATATTTAATGCAGGGATGCAGAGACATCATTAAAAGTTGTATCAACGACAACAACGTTTTCGATTCACACGCTCCTAATTAGGAAAAAAAAAAAGCCGAACATGCCCACACTTTTAATGCCCTAGGTAAAACAAGCACCCTCCGAGACCTACCGGACCCCGCTTTCATCCGCACACGATGCATGTTAACCATAAAGTGTTGCCGGCATGAACAAACACATTACGAACCATGTGTACCCGGACTCACCTGGTCAGAACGCTTCACACCGACACCCACAAAACATGTCAGCGAGAATCAACATGTCACACATCACACCCCCCACCTCTCCCCGGGATGCGCCGACACCCTAGTACTAACACCCAAAACACGTTGTTCCAGCGCCCTCCGCCCTCTACATTGAGGTACCTCCCTCTCGCGCCCCTCCCTCCCGCGCCGCTATCCTCCCTTTCACGCGTCTCGTCATCCCGTGGAAACTAGCCTACTTGTGCCGCCATCCGCTCATGTAGCCCCTAACCCCCACCCGCCCTTTTAGTGTACCCACCACGGCCAGAATCGCATCCCCGNCCCGCTTTTAGTAGCGACCTTCCCCCCCATCCGCCTCCATTCGCCCCTATGTAGACCCGTCCCCACTTCCCGCTTGTGCGCTCGCGACGCGATGCGAGCTGAATACGTGCTTACGAATTCCTCCGACGGTTGTAGTCCGGCCTCCACTGCTTCTTCAACTCCAGGGCCGTGCGGATAGCCGCTCGGGCCGGGGTCTCACCGCTCCTCGAAGGAGCCGGAACGGAGCCTTGGCCTTGATGAACAGACCATCCACGGCGGCGACGACCCAGGAGAAAATGCCATCGGTGCTCTTCTCCTGCATTTGTAGACGGCAGACACGAGGGCGGGAAAGAAGCAGTGCCGGGAAGGGGGAAAAAAATGGTCGAGAGATGGACGCTGACGAACTTCGGTAACTTGCGTTCGGCTGTACGTTGCGTGGGTTGATGTCGTGTGCGACGGCGCCATCACCAGCAACGGTACACATACCGTGTTTGCTAATCCCAATATTGCGTCAGGTTCAGCGGTAAAAATGTACCAGGGTATCTCAGAGCCACGTGGTTGACTAAAAGCAGTTGCCGGGCCACTGTTGCGGGGCGGAACCAACACGGCCAGCATACACTTATATGACCCAAAAAAAAAGATTGTAAAAAGGCCATTTGTACAAAGACCCAACAGCTGGCGAACCACCCGGGACCCGGGGGTTGTTTTTCGATTAAAGGCATGCTGAGCACGATGACAATCCGAACTTGTATCCGCTGGGGACGACATTTTTTTTCCTGCGTTACCGTCGAAGGCTGTGTATAGGCCTCCCTACACTAAAACGGCTGGAAACGCCAGACGTAATAAAAAAAAACGACATCCCGCGGTTGGTCAAGAGAATGCCGCCAAGAATAACCCACAGCAGCAGTAATTACCACCGTTAGGCCTCACCTTGAATTTGTTGGCATTTCGCATGCAGCCTTCCTCGGTCAGGGGAAAGTCGAATGCCCCAACCGCAGGCGTCTTGTTGATCGCGTCGATCACCGACCACAATCGCCAGCGTCAAAGGATGCATGTCATCGTTAAACTCGCCAGAGTACCGGCCCAATACACCTCCCGACTAGGGTTGTGAGACGGCTCTGTGTTCTTCACGGAACACACAACTAACCTCGCATATGCATATGAGGAGCACGTGTCGACTCTTGTATGCTATCATTGCGGGATACGACAACCTGTGTAGGCTCCCGACGAGGCATGTATAATGTATAGTGGTGCCGGCGTGTGTTGCACGCTCTATTCATACTGCTGAACTTATTTCAGCGCCACCATAGTACCTTCCTGTCGTTACCATACAATGACTGCTGCTGTATGCATATTATGCAGACACTGCTGTACCTACTGCTGTAGAATAAGTGCTGCTGCGTGTATGCATACCCTGGCTGCATGTTTCGATGAGAGAGTTTTTTTTTTTAAAAGATAGCAGACAAACAGCAAGGCAGTCTACAGCAGTAGTGTTTCTCCTGGGTTTTAGACTTACTCTTCCCCGTTGTTCTCTACGTATACATGAGAGGAAGCCTTACGCATACCTGCCGTGGGCGGCTGCATTTACACATCAACTCACCGCCGAAGAAGGCGTTGACTGCCAGCGAAGGGCGGAGTAGCTCGACAAGCTTGTGGAAGCTGGCCTTCTCCACGCGGTACGACCGCCGCCAGCCTTGCCGTTTATCGACGGCCGCCTCGTGTTGGGCCCACGGAAGCTGCTTGGGCTCGTAGATGGGCTCCCGATCCTGAGGGCAGTGGGCACGATGAGCTTCTCCTGCTGCCACCACGCCCGCCGCCACTACACAAGACCCAGGACTGTGAGAGATCTCCTGTGTTCCTGGGCTGCATCGACCTCGTCGATAGCTCCTCGACGGCGCTTCTCCCGGCGTTGCGCTGCGGGCCCCTGGGGATGCTGGCGCTTCCGGCGCTCAGCCATGGTAGTGGAGTTGCCTCGGGAAGCGGTTTGGGGTGTTGGTGGTGCTGTCTAGGTGTGGTGTGATGAGGACAGCACGCGTGACCGGTGTCTGCTCCGGTCGTCGAAAAAAGCGGGAAATTTTTCACCGAACAGTAAAAGGAGCAAGCCCAGAAAAAATACGGTTCGCTCTTTCTACGGAAAAGTAGCTGAACGCCTCCATATATTTCAAGAAAGTACGGTTTCGTAACCGAATACAATACTCTCCCTTCTTCCCCTCGCTCCTCGACAAGCTTTTGCTTAGACATGGGTTGTAGTGAAGGGGGGGGTCTTTCTGGCGAGCAGGGCTAGACTCATCCCTTAAAAGTACGGTTTCGTAACCGAATACAATACTCTCCCTTCTTCCCCTCGCTCCTCGACAAGCTTTTGCTTAGACATGGGTTGTAGTGAAGGGGGGG